CCACCACCACCACCACCACCTCCACCACCACCACCATCACCGCCGCCACCACCACCTCCAACACCACCAGCAACCTTACCATAATTATTATCATCATCACCACCACCACCACCACCACCATTACCACCACCACCGCCACCACCACCACCACCACCACCACCTTGTGTGGCTCTTGGTTTATAAGGTTTTGCTTCTATTTGATTACTATTTTTGTTTATATATATTTCAATTTGACGAAAGATTGCAGTTATTTCGACAGTAAGTGAACCCATTGATCCAATAACATCAGTCGTAATTTGTTCCGTTATTTGGGTAATTCCAGTACTTTGAGAATCTTGTGTATCTGAACTTAAAGTATTTGAAATAAATATATAAGTGCCAATATTAATAATATACATTTTGTTTGATACTGCTGTACATTTCGCAAATAAAATTGAGTATTTTAATTCTTTAATTGTTATTTGATTATATTCCCAAGTATTTAAATCAGTTTCATTATTAGATAATGTTTGTGACTTCATCTTTATATAATTCATCTGACATATAAAGGTTTGTAAAATTAATTTATTTATTATGAATGGATAAAAAATCTTTTGGCAAAACAATATCTGCCGATGGCTGTCCACTTTTTTCTTTTTCAACAACTCGTATATCATAATCAGCTACATTGGGATTACACCATAGAACATCATTATAATATTTTTCTATTGATTCTTCTCCGTATGAATTAAAATTATTTGTTAACATACTACCATCCATACTAAACATTATTGCTCGTTGATAATGTACTTCGGTGGATTTTACGGCCGTTAGAAGCATTTTATTAACACTCCTATATAATGTTGTCATAGCCTCTGTGTAGTCATTGGTATCTTTATTAAATGTAGATTCAGCTTTTGTTTGTGAATCTTCTATGGTCAGTGCAATATTTTTACTCATGTAATCAAAGTTTGCTCGAACTATATTCACTTGCTCCCATATCAAAATTCTCATTGATATGTCTTGCGAAGAATAACCCATGGAATTTATATAAATCATAGTCAATGATTTCTTATATATTTCATACATATGAAGAACAGTTTTTCTCAATAATAACAATGAATCGTTGTCATTAAGATCAAAAAACACTGTAAGGTCAGACGTACTGTAAATTTCCTAAAAAACAAAAAATAACTATCATAATAATAACGTCATATAACTGAAATAGACAATTTACGACGATTTACGAATTTACGTACCAATAATTTTTCATCGGGGCTTGCAGATCCAGTACATAAATCTATTCCCATACCATAAAGGAATGCGTACTTAATCGATGCGTATACATCCATTTCTTTGGCCAATTTTTTTCGTACTTGGTTATATTGATTAACAATGATTTTCCATTGCTGTTCAGTTATGTCGACAGTGTTTGTATATTCTGGAACATTGTCAAACTTGGTTTTTTAATTCTTCGACTTTTTTCATAAAATCAATGTAAGACGATTGACATCTCTGTGCAATAAGAATTGTTTGAGCAGTATTTATATCGTTAACATCGCTAAGTTTCGTGTCTGTCTTCGTTACAGTCACATCTGTTTTATAATAATTAATTGTCATGTACAGCATAGCGTTTAATTTGTCTTGCATTTCTTTTTCTTCGTCATCATCAAACGATGAGGATGTTTCTTGAAGACCACTTTCAGCTATCTGAATTATATCTGTTATAATATCATTTGACGGGCTATCGATTTCATTGAATCCACTTTCGATATAATAACCTGAAGATAGCATACATTCTACAGATGTTATGTATGCTGCTTGAACCGTTAGCGTGAAAACCGAAATGTACTGTGTAGCATTAGGTACAACCAGATTATTGAACTGAGCTGGTAATAATGTATCATCGTCTGCATCATAACACTAAAATATATACATACATATAAACATATAGAAAATTTAAGCATACAATTATATAATATAAATTAGAATCAGGCACGGATTCAGGAGGGACTATGGGTGCTCGTGCACCCCACGTCGTCTAAGCCACCAACAAAATAATTTTATATTATAAATTATATCACTTGTTCATTTCCAAAATAAAAATAATAATAATATTATCGGTGCTTTCCGCCGTCGTCATCATATACGACAATGACAACTGTTATTTGTTGTTATACTCATATGTAACGACATCGGCGTAAAGCACTGATTATTATTATTATTAGATCGCTATTCGCTTATTATTGTTATATATATGTATCTCAGTTATTTGGCTCGTGACTGCCTGACGAATATAATATTATATTATTGATAGCAGTGACGGAATTTATTTTTCAATGTTACGTGTATCGAATACACACCATTGCCACACATGCGGGGTTTTCAGGGGGGTGCTTAATACCTCAAAGTTCTAAAATGGCACCCCCAGTTTATTTTGAGGTAAAAATATTGTTTAAAGAGAATTATTTTGCATTTATAAGAATAAGTAAACTCCAGTATGGATTGGTAATGCAATGAACGTACAATGTACATACATGTGTTATACATGTATCTATACAGTAAGAGCATAGGCGCACATAAGGGGGGTGCTCGGGGGTGCTTAGCACCCCCAGATTTAAAATTAGCACACCCAATTTCCTAGAATATTTATTTCAGTATTTCATCAATAATTTGTAAATTATTGTTGTTTATTGGGTTGGACATTTTTTTCCAATATAAATAGACAATAATGTATAATATAGTTGACGAATTCACGATTAAAACAATATTGTATAATTGCACGTTTTACTGATTCAGTTTTTATCTAACTATTAAACTATAAACAGCAATCATAATATTATAGAAAATCACATTATCTTATCTTACTTTATATTCTTATATTATCTACAGTTTACGGTTGGCTACGAAATTATGTTCTATTTATAACTTTGATTATTACTTGGTTTTTAGTAATATTTAACCAGTGAGCTACTCTGAATTGTATATGGAATGACAAATATTATTACCAATCATTAGGCATGTTCTGTACAAAAATAATATCGATAATATCAATATCGATATATCATATTTCAATTTAATGATATCGATATTTTTAAACATTAATATCAATATTTTGATATTTGATAATTGATGAAAAAAAATCGTATTTTTATAACTTTTTTTTTACTATTTATAACAAAAACATAAACTATACTTAATAAGTATTAATTAAATAACCACTTGTAATAATTAAGATGTTTTATTGATACAGTCTTATTTTATAAAAACAAAATTAATATTAACAAATCTTAATATATAGGTAAACAATTTTGAATTCGTAACCGCCTACTGCCTAGATATACTTATTACCTAATATATATCATAGACTATAAAGCATAGGTACACTAATAAAATATACTACTTAGTACTTAATCCGTGGAGTATGGCATAACATAACAACGACAACAATAAACATAAATAACAAAATCGCCGATAAATGGACACATAGATAACAGTCATTTGGAAAATAATCATAAAGTAACGATTAATGATGGTATTTTCTGTAGCTATTCTAAATATAAAAAATTAGTATTTTTATTTTTGTAGCCATTTTGAGCCAGTGAGGCCAGGCAGAAAAAAAAAAATATCAGTGATATATCAATATTATTGTATATTTAAAATATCAAAATATATCGATATATCAAAGCAAAATATCGATATTTGATATTATTAATATATCAAGCCCATACCTACCAATCATACAAACTATATGATTCATTACTATTGATAAAAATTAATACTAAATAAGAATTATTACTAAAAACAAATAATATTTTCTATCAAATTGATAATGACGATTATTAATTTTTAGGCATTTTAAGTTCAATAACAAAAAAAAACTTAGTTGTTATAATTTTCATTCTTTATGATGTACTTTGTATCATTAATATTTTGAGCTATCAGCTTTAAAATAAAAAAAGCTACATTGAGATATTCTGAAAAAAATAATTAATGGTGTTATTGATTCATTTAAAAATCTACGTTCTGATGAGGCTTTTGATAAATTTTGGCAAAAGGTTCAAGATTTTTCAAATAAAAATAATATACTATTGACAATACTATCCACAAACGAAGGTAGTTCTTAATTATTTATTTGGATTATATATTATTGCTTTATTTAAAACATACATTTAAAATGTCTGTACCTAAGTCTATACAATAACATATTGTTAAAAAAATATTTATGTATTTTATCTGACTATAATGTCAAACAAAAAACAAAATCGGAAACGTCGTGAACCAACCAAACTTCAAGATTACGACCTAGGTCATCGAACAGGAGCAGTGTCTGAAAATAATACTTCAAACACCATTGGATATTGGTATACAATAGTTTATTTAAGGATAATTGATGGAATAATTGTGAATTTAGAAAAATATTTTTTTTGAGGAAAGCTTAGAGCTGGCCAATTCTGTAGAAAACATTTTTAACTTGGATGAATATAATAGTCTTCTTTTATAAACACTTATAAGATATACATTTAATAAAAAATAACTAACTATTTAAAATATTTATTACATGGTCATATGTTTTGAAATATTATTATGTAAATTAATCTGTTTATTGTTTGATATATCAGGATATTTTGAAAATATCAACTGCTAGTTTATCAGCAGAAATGCTAGTCTTAAAGAATAGTCTACCAGCCAACTTTGAATTTAAAGACTTGAAAAATCAATGTAATAAAAGTTCGTTTCCAAATGTTTATAAACTAGTTCAAGTGGGAATGACAATTCCAATTTCGTCTTCAACATGTGAACGCTCTTTTTTAGCTATGCGTAGATTGAAAAATTGGTTACGCACTTGAATAGGCCAAGAAAGATTTACTAAGTTATCTACGTTTAGCATTAAGAGAAATCTTACTAATAAAATAGATGGGGAAATTATATTGGACAAATTTTATAACTTATAATATAATTACTTTTAAATATTCATTAATAAAAATTAAAAATTATGGCAACGCATTTGATTATATTATTAGGGGGTGGGGGGCAAAGCTCCCCCACGAACCTGTATACTATAAATTATTCCAGCACCCCTTGAATTCAAAAACAATGTGCGCCTATTTGTGTTTATGTTACCTATGCATATGATACTATGTTGATGGTCAAATTTATTGCTGGAATACCATTTAGGTATCACGTTTTGTTTACCATCTACAGGTTTTATCACTTTTTGATAAAAAATATTGATGTTTATTAATAATAATTTGTAAGTTATAATATAGAAAATTGCTACATTTATAATTAAATAGTAAAACTAAAACAATTTGTGCCAAGTAATTGTAGGGCAGTGGTTCCCAACCAGAGGGGAATTTAGAGTTGGCTCATGGTTATTTATTATCTAAATCTGTTGCATGATGAATAATTCCACCTCAATTTGTACAAAATTTTTAGATGACTTGAAGTTATTTTTAATGTACCAACTGATTAGTTTTTAATTAATTTTTAGGAATAAAGGTTGAAACCTTTTTATTTTTCAATTGAAAATTATCATTGTTGATTATGTAAGTAATTATATGAAATAAAGGGTGTACGATAACCAATAATTTTCAGATTAAACGACCAACATTGATCATGAGTTCTATAAAAATGTACCAGTCTGGTCGTCCATATGACTTGTAAATTATCTTTTAAAAATATTGTACTACCTACTACGAGGCGGCTTTTGGAGCCATTACAAATATATGGTTAAGCAATTATTATTCAAACAAATTAAACAATGCTAATAGTCCCAATAATACAATATGTATGGTATATTTTATTATTTTTTTTTTTTTCAATAATAATCAATTTTATTTTTTTTTTTAAGGAAAGCCTTCAACAACTAGGTCGTTAGGCTGAAATTCAACATAGATATACTTAATATTATTTACATACATATTTACATAAAATTATTCTAAATTAGGGACTGGTACCGAATTCGTTCCCGAACTCGAACACCACGTGCCGAATTGGTTCCCGTCTGGAAAATTTATTTTATCAGGTATAGCCGAATTGGTTCCTGTTTGAAAAAGGTATTTTATTAGGTATAACCGAATTGGTTCTCGTTTAATTACGCACATTTTCCTTCACAATTTTATTATTAACTTTAAAGTAGGTTTGGTTAACAATGTTTGTTAATGTGTGTTAAAAAAAATGATAAAATATATATAATTTTAAATCGTTGATTTGAAAGTCAACAAATCATAACTTAGGTGTACGAAATAAAGGTAATAAAATACAATAAATACAATTTAAAACCACTGATTTGCAAATTTGAAGCTAACTTTTTTTAAATATTCAATTCTCGTAATCTTCTCATTAATGTACTCAGTCATACAATTTTTCAAGTGTTTGTTATTTCTTTCCTGTGCCTATGCTAGTAATTTGCTAGTCTCTATTTATTTATATTTATATACTCTATCTTATCGATATAATAATA